CACACACACACACACACACACACACACACACACACACACACGTCTGTTATTCACTAACACACAACCGCACAAGATCAAAGATAAATAATTACTATTCTGTACTGACAAATACAAAATTTGTGAATTTTTCTGATCCGCTTTCATAGCACTGTCATAAAGAACTATGATATGCCCGTTCACATCAGATGATTTTTTTAATGTTTTTTTTTCCCTGCAACACCTTCAAATGCTKCATCCAATCCCCAAATCAAACATCCTGAATCTCAGTAAGGAAGAAGCACTAGGTCTTATGACTGGTTATTTTGTTGCTTTCATTACACTGAGCATAGAAAAGAGAAAGAGAGACAGGGTTGGAGAAAGACTTGTGTTCTCCGATGATTTCTGCAGTCTGTTCCATCTCTTTAATTAGTCCCATTGGAGGGCCCTCCCCGCTCCGCGCGGCTGATCGGTTTCCTCTCCATAACTTCCAGTCTGCATTCCTGCGAGTGYGCATGTAGGCATGTGTGTTTGTATGCATCTGAGTTAAAGCCAGACAGACAGTCATCTCCTGGGCATATTAATAACTTCTGTTTGGGCTCCCAGTGGTTGAGGAGAAAATGTAACCGAATTACATTAATATTCAAGGAGTTTTTTTTTTCCTGTGATACTGTAACAACCATTTGTGAAATAGTTCTCTCTGCATCGGTCTCTGTAGCAATTAGCATGAAGTGATTTATCTAATACAACAAACATGGTGTTAAGGTATAACCCCATGTCCACCAAAGCCTGGCTGCCTTTTATAATACTGTCATTTTAATCTGTGAAAGTGGCATCGCTCCTGAAATGAAATAAAACGCTTTAAGGCAGCAGCTTGTGTTGCTGCAGGAGCATAACCTGCTCAGAGTTCATGTCAGGATGTTTTTATTCAGCCTGTTTGGTTCAGTTAAAACAGTCCCCAGGACATTTGGCTTCCAGTGCAATTAATATGAAAGCCAAACAACAAAGATCACATAAAACACAGAGCTGTGATGTTTTATCACAGCCCTGCAAGCAGAGGATTTTTTGAAACAAAACAGCAATAATATTAACACTGTAAAACATCATCCGTTTTGTTAGCTACTATTTGGATCTTTAATTAGTTGAAATCAAAGAAGTGTATTACTCTTGAAAAGAAACTTGATTCTGTTTCAGTTGAAATTATGAATTTCAACTGGAACAATGAAGGTTACAACAGAAAAAAAACATTTTCTCTCCAACTGTTGTTATTTTCTTACACATCTCTTTGCACTTA